CATTTTGGCCTGAACATTGTCCAAGAAAGCTAGGAAAGCCGGCGAGCGGTCCTTCAAGGGGCTGACTCCTTCCTGTTCAGTCTCCGCTGCTGCCGCAGTGTCCGCAGCTGCTGCAGCCCTGACGCTTTCGGACTCTTGGCGCAACAAGTTCTTGAGCTCCGTGAATTTTTCGCCCAATGGATTGTCAACTTGCAAGCAATCCACAGGAGCCTTTGCGGCTCGCAAGCCAGACTTCAAATGCTCGTCGAAGGTGTCCCGGAATAGAATGTCCTGCAACATGACTTACAATTCCTTATTAGTGCTTGCTGGAAACTATCATTGAACACAAACTATGGAAACATACTTGGTCCTCGAAAAGCTGTAGGGCTGCGTCTGCGGCTGCTGGCCACCCCGCTTGCCAAGACAAATCACTCTTGCGGTTTGGGTAGCCCACTTTCTGCCGAAAGGTTGCCACATCTTGGCACAACTCTCGCAGAGCTGTTCGATGGGCTTCTTTCAAATCTTTGCCTTCAGTCGTCAGAAACTCCGATGTCAAGTAGTTCCGGAAGCGTAGCTTGAACAGCACAAGGTCAATGTACCCCTTGTTGTGGTCTTTGGCAGTCCCAGTGAGGAATCTAGTCGTGAGGCCGTCCACTTGCAAAAAACCAGCGAGCTTGGCATCTCTCATGTACTGGAAAATCCATACTATCTCGTCAGGCCGGGATGTCTTGGAGACTGTGGCTTGCAAGAGGGAGACCGTTTTCCAAACCGGGTTGTCCGAGGATTCTTCTGCCAAGACCACATCCAAGACAGCGGGCACACGCAAGGCACGGTCCATGACAAGACAGGCGTGGTTGATGAAGCCTGAAACGCTGTCTAGACCTTGAGATAATACTACAGGGGTTCCCAAAAATGACAAATCCTTTTCTTGGATTCGGCCAAGCAGCCAACGGTCAGTTTCTCTGCCGCCGAACTCCACTTCAGCTTCTTGTCATACATGGTTACCAAAGCTTCCGGAGTGAAGTTGCTTCCCAAGCTCTCACGCTTTGCTACCAAATCGAAAATTCTCTGCGTGGGCGTTCTTTGGAGCACTGCCATTTGGACCATGTCTTCTCGGAGCTGAGCACTGGCCCACTCAATCTCCGCCTGGTTCTCCACAACCTTGATGATGCAGACTGTGGATAGACAATGCCGAAACCACTCTTGCAACTCATTTTCATACTCTTTGGCGCCCTCACGAATCAAAGTAGCTGTTGCAGCTGCCGCCTCAAACCAAGCCATGATGGATTCTTCAGGCGACAATCTCTTCCAGCAGCCAAATGCCGGGAAAGTTCCAGCATCCAGCTCGGCCTGCAATATGGCAACGTGCACTGCATGCTGCTCCAAACCAGAAGGCTTCGTGAAGTAGTGACGCTTCAATTTCTCAATTGCTCCTTTGTTGATGGGCACGTGTGGAGAAGACGAGTAGCTATGGTCTAACCAAAACAAATTGATGCGAGACATGTAGCGCTGTTCGCGTTTCAGCGACTGCAACGCGTCTTTCTCGTTGAAGCTCTGTACGAAACCTTCTCGTTCCGGCAGCATTTGCACAATGTCAGCTGCTGCTGCTTCCTCCCGGAAGATTCTCACATTGTCCAAGTGCTTAGAGATAATTTCTCCGTTGCATTTCATAGCTTCTGGAGGGATTGACAAGCCAACACCAGCAGAGGATGCCAATGCCAATGCGCTTGCCGCGCTGTCCCCTTGGCCGCTCACTGGAAGCGCTTTAGCCTTGGCAGCTTTCTTAGCCTGCTTCGCCTTGGCCACAGGCTGACCATCCGCACTGGGACGCTTGGGGGCCATGACTACGAAAGTCGATGCAGCCGGTGCAAAGTGAAGCCAAAATTCCTTACGCCGGTGATATGTAGCCTGTCATTGCAGCATGAAAAACTGAAGTGGCCATTGGCCCAAGACTTCTGCTCATGCTCATGCTCTGCTTAAGCACTGCTTGGCGTTAGACAGCCTTAGTATTTCCTGACCCCCACATCTCAATCAAATACG